ATTATTATTATTATTATTATTATTATTATTATTATTATTATTATTAGTAGTAGTAGTAGTAGTAGTAGTAGTAGTAGAAGTACTAGTAGTAGTAGTGTGTGGTGGCGCCCGCACCTCCATATGCATCAGTGAATTGTGCCCGAGTACATAAGAACGTTGGACAGCACTGCACTAGAGCATATGCTAAGTCTTCTCGGTCTGCTCCACTGGCCATTTCCTGGTAACAGATCTCAACAGTGGAGATTCTTCAGCTTCTGTGCCCATGTCATTACTGTCTGGCAAATATCCCACAACTCGTCTGTCAACTGGATTATAGTGCCATCTCTTCTCAGCCTCTCTTGCAGAACTCAACTGTTAACTGAACTGATTGCTTCAGCTCTCCTGGTTATACAGCTTCTTCATTACAGTCCATCACAACACAACAATATAAAGGTCAAGGCTAAAATTAGCTTGGCTACATGTTTTGGCTATTAAAGCCATCATCAGGCAAGCACATGATTACCATTTTCACACACTAATGAAATGCAATTACGATGGTAAAGCTGGAAACTTGATAATACATTATAAAATACACGGTATAAAAGTACAATGAAGTACAAACTTATTAAATCGAAAGTTATGGCGTAAAATAAGGTTAAAAACTCTTCATGTGATATTCTATATTGTCACGTGTTGGGTGTATACGCGACAAATAACTTCACGCAGTATTGAATATAGCGAATATTATTTCATATTCGCACTTACAATCACCCAAATTACAATCTGACAATTACTGCCATTGGCAGTATCACAAATACTACACTGCAAATGCCAGAATACAACTGACTGGTTGCTGACTAACTCGGAACTAACCGGCTTGAGAACTCTCTCGGAACTGACTGTGAATAGCCTTTGCTGCTCCTTATGTAGTCTCGTTCCGGACAACACAGAACACGGCCGCGTAATAGGCACCCTTGTTGCCTGGCGCCGTGTTGCTAGCAATGCTGTCCAGAGTTGTTTACTGCTGCCTAGCAACCGCGGTTTCCCTTGATGACGTCAGCGCTGTTGACTCGCGTTGCATACCTACCAGGATGCTGGGACTCGGCTAACTTCGGCTCCGCTCGGCGTGTCACCGCCGCCGGGGGGGGAGTGGTGTCCTGCATAGCGCGACAAGTAGTAACGAGAGCGCTACGTTACCGCCACGTGCCGCTGGGGAGGTTGGGGTCCTCCGTTGCGCAACATGTCACACTACTCCCTCCTTAAGGCTGTTCGTCCCGAATTGCCTAACGGTGCACCCCCGTTCCTCTTCTTCAAAGGATGGCTTTCTGCGTCTCCTGTTATTTCGGCTACTCTTATTGCAGCGACTATTCTTCCGTTACCTCCGCTCCCCATCACAATATCATCAAGTCAGTTTGTTGCAATTTTGTTATATTCCTGTGGACATATAGCAGTGTATTCAGACTTGTATACATGTAATAAACTGCTTGGAGGCCCGTGGTATAGATGCAGTATAGTTTTTACTGTAATTGTTTACCCGTTGCCTCATCTTACAATGTATTTGTCCGTTTGTTTAGCCGGTGCCTCTTCTTACAATGTATTTGTTCATTCTGTAGGGAATATAGATTGCAACTCTCCTGGTTATAACATCTTGGCACGAACAACATAGAAAACACTTTTCTTCTATTGCATGTGCATCCGTTGCTGTGGGAACACGTTTCCCAAGCTGTTGCCCAGAAATGGGTGTTGTTTATTTGCTACGTCGCAGCAGTGGCTGTGCATGCTAAAATATATTACATGCATTTTTTGATGCTGTTACAATGGTGATTTTGATTGGAATTTGCTTACTAGTTGTCGTTCTGCTTAGACATTTCCACTCATTTGGGTCTTCTAGCAACCAAGCCTCTTCATACGTCCCTGTTTTCCCAAAGTTCCTCAATTTCTTCCTTCTGTATGACATTTTTCATAACCTTTTGCCCTCATTTTGGTCTTGGTCTTCCACTTGGACATTTTCCTTTTAGTGTCATATTCATGGGTGTTAATTGTTATGTGATGCTGTTACAGCCACACAGTCACTTGTGCTGACTACGACAGTTCCTGGTGTAGGACTCCGGAAAACACCAAGTTCACTCTCTTTACTGCATGAAATTGTGAGCCTTATTCATAGAGAGATGGAGATAACAAATCGTGTTCCTGAATCTGCAGTTCTCAGCTTGGCATTTCAACTGCTGACAAACTCATGTCAGTCTCAAGAATGTAGAAATGTTATTGCCAAGGTAAGTAATTCAGTGGAATGAACTTTTGTATTCTTGTCAGACCTGGGCTTCGCATAGCAGTGACTGGCACCATTTTGTTCAGTGGGTGCTCTACTTGCTTGGCCTACTCTTCAGCTGTGCTGATGAAGGCTACAGCTTTGCCTCATTTAATTTTCTCTTAATTACACAACATTACATCCCAGAAGTGCATACTTTTCAGTTTCACTCTAACTTAAAATGCCTCCTGGCTTGTGGTTTTACAAGAAATTTATCTTGAAAATTATAACTAACTAACCCAGTGGAACAGGATCCTTAGTGATAAATTGTTAATGCAGTAGTCATAAGTTTCCCCACCTTTTGTGGAACCTGAAGGGTCATTGCAGGGTAGAAGCCTGCCTTTTCTGTTGAAGGTGGGGATGTGTCTAAGCATTTATGTAGGCAAGCAGTATTGTACCAAACTAATTACTGTTGTTTCTTTCCAGAGCAACTTGTTCCAGTGTCTTCCAAAGCTTCATCCATCAGTCACCAAGAAACAGAAGCAGTGGGAGGCAGTGGAGCTGATGTGGCTTGGATTTATGTCAGATTTCACTTTGCATGCAGAGGGACAGCTGGCAGTTCCCAAGGTACAGTAAAACCACCTTGATCCTTATTGTTGGGTCTCTCCCACCTGTGTCCTAACTGTAACATGCCTTCCCTAGTTTTAGACACATCATGTGTTGAAGAACATCAAAGTTGGCACCTTGAGGTGGAGTGTGAGGTAAATGGGGTAAGTGGGCAGATATATTCGTCTCACTGTGGAAGTGTAGGTCCAGTCTAGAAAACCAAGATTAATGGCCATGGGGATCTGTTGCGCTGACCACGTGACACCCTCTATCTGCAAAAGTTGGAACTAACTTTGCCAAAGAGTGGCAGTGGCTTGGTTGGTATAGTTCACTTGTGGACTACAGGCCATGGAGTTGGTTTGTTTGTTTGTGGAAGTGTAGGAGAGGTGGGGGTCAGGATGTGGTGTTGTACAGTGAGAGAGGATGCTATGGTCTGGAGGAAAAGAGATGAAGCCAGCTTTTGCTCAGTTAACTGTCGGCATTGAAGGGAGACTTCTATGATGATGTGGGAATGGTAAGACTGGATGTTAGGTCTTTATTTTTATGGAAGTCAGTTAAGTGTTGTTGTCATGGTGGACTGTTTGGCTGCTGCTATTGTTGCTTCTGTTGTCTGGTGTCACTGGTGTACCTAAGGGAGATGGAGTATGTGGGTTGGCCAACATGCACTTTGCTTGAGATGGAACTTGGTACTTCCAAAGTATGAAGCAGGAGTGCTTACCCATTTGATTGGCTTCCCACCTTGGTGGCCTGGGTTTGATCCTGGGTCTGGTCAAGTGGGATTTGTGGTGGACAGAGTGGTGGTGCTGGGGCAGGTTCTTTCTGAGTACTTTAGTTTCCCCTGCGAAGCTTCATTCCACCAAATTCTCCATCGTCATAATCACCTGGGGAAGGTACAGTAGGCCAATCAGTGGCCGCTGTGCCGAGCGGACTGAGCTGGACTCCACCCCACCCCCCAAGCGAATTAATTATCCATTTGATTGCAATATTGACTGGAGAAATGTATATTTGGGTGACGTTAGTAATGCTGTGTTTTTCTTAAAATGCAGAAAAGTTTTGTTTCATTATCTGCAGGGCTATATGAAATAGAGTCAAGCCCCCATTTAAGGTTTCTTTGGGAGCAATGGATTTTGAACACTGAATTGAGGAGAATCTTAAATGGAGGAATTGTATCACCAGGTTTATTGACTTGAGATAATTATAATGTTGTATTTTAGCGTCCTGTTGCACTGATTTTCGTCCATGATGTATATACAGTGTCCGTCTTGCAGTGCATCCACTTTTACCTGTCACTTCACAACATGTTTTGGCACCATAGTGCCATGGAGCACCTGATGATGGCACTATGCTGCCGAAACATGTTGTGAAGTGACAGGTAAAAGTGGATGCACTGCAAGACGGACACTGTATATACATCATTGAGATAACTGATAATTAATGTTAAACTAAGGGAAATATTGAATCAAGGAACGTTAGTTGGGTATTCCATTGTATCTAGATTGATCTACTGAAGTATTTATCCTACGAGAAAGGCATGTTATTTTATAACTCTAACATGAATAATAATTATTGTATTTTTTCCAGATTACAGATGCACTGGATCTTCTCATAATGCTGACAGCAAGTTCCAAAACAGCAATTAAAATGGCTGCATTATGTGTTCTGCGAAACATTTCATTTCATCAGTTAAACCGTCCAAGGCTGTTAGGCTCAGGTATTTCACATGATATTTATTAACGAGGTTCATATTGGAAGCACGAGACTGCACTCAACATACAAGGTGCGGCAATAAAGAAACCGGATTACATTTATGACTCATTTCTGGCCACGTCAATGACGAAGAGGAGGGTAGGGCATTGACCCTTGGACTTCCCTCTACCGTCACACAAAGTTTCATTCACGAGCATCGGTTAGTCTGGCCGCGACCATTGTTAGAAGCGGATCGTGTGTCTGAGCTCCGTCGGAATAATGCTGAGTGCTAATGTAGAACAACGTGTTAACATCAAATTCCTCACAAAACTTGGAAAATCTGCCACTGAAACTTACAATTTGTTGACAGAAGTATATGGTGATCAGTGTCTATCTCGCACGCAAGTTTTCGAGTGGTTTAAGAAGTTTATGGAGGGTAGGAAAAACGTCGGGAACGATCCAAAATCGGGCCGTCCTTCCACTGCGAAAACTCCAGAGAATGTGGAGAAGGTCGCTAGAATTGTTCGAAGAGATCGTCGACTGAGCATTCGAGCAATTTCTGAACTTACGAACATCAATAAGGAAAGTGTTAGACAGATTTTGCACGACGATCTGGGCATGAAAAAGGTGTGTGCTAAAGTGGTGCCAAAAATCCTTACCCCCCAGCAAAAGGAACATCGAGTGAATTGCTGTGTTGACACTCTTGAAAACATTGAAAATGATCCTGATTTCTTCCAAAACGTAATTACGTGTGACGAAACTTGGATTCTTCAATATGATCCAGAGACTAAGCAACAATCCATGCATTGGAAGAGCCCCAAATCCCCTAGGAAGAAGAAAGCGCGCATGAGCAAGTCCAAATTCAAAGCAATGATGATTGTTTTTTTCGATATCCGGGGGGTAATCTACATTGATTGGGTGCCTGAAGGTCAGACTGTCAATCAGGTTTATTATAAAAATGTTTTGACAACCCTCCGTGAACGTGTGCGACGAAGGAGACCAGACATGTGGAAGAATGTCTCATGGGTTCTTCATCACGACAACGCGCCAGCACACAACGCGCTATCTGTGAAGAGGTATTTGGCAAAAAACAACATTCCAGTGATGGAACATCCACCGTATTCTCCGGCCCTAGCACCTTGCGACTTTTTTCTCTTCCCGAAAATCAAGTCTGTGCTCAAAGGGACCAGGTTCGAGTCCGTGGATGCAGTGAAAGCAAAAGAGACGCAACTCTTGAAGAGCATAAAACAAGATGACCTGCAGCACTGCTTCCATCAGTTGAAAATTCGCATGGAGCGGTGTAGGGATTGGGGAAGGGACTACATTGAAGGGGATAACATTTCGATTGTCTGATTTTTTTTTCAATAAAGGGTTAGAGCATGAATCCGGTTTCTTTATTGCCGCACCTTGTAGAATGAAATGGCACTTGGCTGTGCTCTTTTGTTGGCCACAAAGGAAGTTGGGTTGATGTATTTGCACAAACAGTAGTGTCTGCTGTTCTGTTTCTCTGCTTCTCTTGTCAGGATATAGTAAGTTGAGAGGATCACTGCTCGATGTGACTCACAAGTGCCACTCTATTTCATGTCAGTTGTACATTAATCAGAGGCTTTCCTGAGATGGTAATAGTTGGTCAACTAGTATAGAAAGTCCCCACATTTTTGGCAGCCCAATGTTTGGTTGCCATTTCCAAAGAGCCTGTCACTAACCCCTCTCCTGAACTGGATGTACCCAGTCCATAGCCTCACACCCATAATATCCATATTAATATTGTCACATGGTAAGTGTGACTAGAGATGAGGTTTGGATTGGTAATCGGATTTATTGGACACTTATGCTCATGACTACAAATAACTACTCTGGTCTGAGTTTCAATGAAGATCACTGTAATATAGTACACATAAATTCTTCTGTCTTCATTAGTCGCAGCTTGGTAGCAGCTTCCGGCAACAGACATCCCCCTTCCTGTGGGTTCCTGAACTGTCCCCAGCCTCAGCTACCAGCTTCTTACTTCCCACAATTGCAACTCTCAACTGACTAAACCAAATCCAAGTCCAAGTCACATTGCGACTGACAGTCAGTCAGTCTATCTGTCTTGGTGTTGAGCCCCGGCTGAGGCTCATGACCAGATTTCTTTTCTTTTTGTTTTTTTCCTTATATGAAAGTTACTGTCCTGTCCATTTGGGGCGCCCTCTCTGATGAGAGGTTGGGTCTGTCCTTTGTCAGTCATAGTCCGTATTAGTAAGTCCATTGTCAGTATTTACATATATTTACAAATTTAATCTTAATTCCTATTTCTTTGTACAATATATACAAGGCCTCTGTCAATCCAGGCTCAGTCAGCAAATTATGCCCTGTTTCTAGTAGTATTCGCTACCATGGCAGTCTAGTCATTTGAACGGTCGTATGTCTGACCACCGCCAAGTTTAAGCCTCTTATACTTTCTGTATTGGGCTTCGCCTTGTCCGATGTTGTGAACATTCTGATTTTCATGATTTTGTATGACTTCTGCTTGTTTCCTGCATAATTTTGTTATATAGTCATATATGTACGGGATTTTGAATGCTATGTGCAAATCGCGGACTGGTGTGCACATTGGAAAATTGCCAATGGTGGGGAGAACCTTGTTTTACAGGCACTGCAGTTTCACTAGATGAGCGAACCGAACTACTAGTCCTCATATATAGCCCTGGCATGGACCACACAGAAAATGTCCCTACCCCTATAGCTGGTTATCTCGTTGCTGGGGAAATAGTGTGTCCACAGAGCTGTTCCCTAGCAATGGCTGTTGTACTGTCCCCTGTTTACACAGCTGTTACTTGGCAATGGCTCTGCATGTCACAATATTATCATCCCAGCTATGCCTAGTACTTGCAAATAATCTGTCTCCTTCAAAGACCATAATTTTATACACATTGTAAGATTTGAGGCTTTCACGGCGGTGACTATGAAGAATGCAGTCTTCTGGGATTTGGCACCGTGTATATGTGGTGTTAACCGACGTTTCGGAGGAACGTATCGCCCCCATCTTCAGGGTTGAAGAAAAAGTATAAGTAAATCTGCAAGCGACAACACCGNTGAGGTTTTCACTGTTGTGAAGATTCTTATTCTGTTTTTCAGGGTTATGATACACTGTAGTCCTCAGGGTAGAAGCATGGTAAAGGAAAGTTGTTCCTATGTTTATTTAAATTCTGTGTCATGAAATTGTATGGGGAAGTGGAGGTATAGCTTTCTCCTTTCTTAAGCTTCATTACTAGTTAGAACTGAGGAGTTGGCTTCACATTCTGGCTACTTAATCTACCAGGGAAATAGCCCCCCAGCACCCACCAGATAAAGGTGGCCTAGACAAAGGATGAACAGAAACATCTCTGCCTCCACTGGGGATGGAAACTTGATTCTCTGATTATCCAACACAGCTGAAGGAGGCCGTATATACCTTTGAAATGTTGATACCCACCTTCAAGACTATATGGTGGCACAGAAACTCATTTACATTCTTCAGTGTTCATATCACATGAGAAAGAAATTGCTTTATTCATTTTATTCTGACTTATTTAATTATAATGAATTAAGGTATTTGTAAGATGGGTTTCACATTTGAGCATATTAAGTTTATTCTGTTGATTTTCCTTTGTTATTTTATATGGTTTAAGCCAGTAAGTAAGCTTCTGTTAATTCATTGTTTTATTGTGTTTACAGTTACACTTGCAAAAACCCAGAGAGTTTATACTGTACAGCTGAGTGACAATTAAACTTTCATGTTTATGTACAGGTGACTTCCTGCAAGTGTTGCATCAGAAGCTCAGTGATGGAAGCCTGGAGGAGAAGAGAATGGTAGCATGCATGGTGTGGGCGCTCGTAGCCAATAATCAAAAAGGAAAACTTATAATAAAGTGTTCAGGAATTGATATAAAACTTCAGGAAAGCCTTAATCAACTTCGTCTTCTTTCCAGTAGTGAAGATACCGAAACTGATGAAGGAATTCATATCATAAGCAATGTCCTTCAAATTATTCATGGTGACAACAGTACAGCAAGAAGGCGATGATGCTGCTGCATATTTTAATTTGATGACAGTATTGTGCTGTGTCACAGCAGCTGTCGTCATCATCATCATCCTCATCTCCTTCTCCTTTGACAGTTGTACTCTATTGGTCACTCAACCTGCCTCTGTCTTCCCATGTTCCTTCTTTCTTTCTTTCTGTGTGACATTTCTTGACATATTGCTCCCACCTTGATCTTGGGCTTTGTCTGTGTAATCTGTTTTAATTAACATGAGGATGAGAATCTTCGAGATATGAACAATAAGGAAGATGATGCCTCTGAAAGATAGTAATGTATGCACTAGATTCTGTGCAAGGGAATAATGATATGCAAGAATGAAAAAATGTGCTGTTTTGGAGTGGTTTTAATTAGTAGTCATGTAAGGTGTTAGCATGTTTAAACACTGTGCTTTGAAGTTAAACTTATTTGACAACCTCTGCTGTTTCTGAGTATTTCAACCCATTGTATATTAATAACAATCCTAAACAGTGGGCAGAAAGGACAAAGGGCCACTCCATGCATCTGAATTGATCTTTGCCAGGCAGTTCTAGTGGTATGCATTTTTGGGCATGTGAATAGGATTTGAAAGCCATGAAGTGCATCTCTTAAGGAAGATATGAATGGTCTAAGTAATATTGTGTTGTACATCAATACTGGCTGGCTTCAGGTTCAGCCTGAACTTCAAAACTCACATTAAATTATCAGTCTGTAGGTTTGAAATTTTGGTTCCATTATACAGAGTTATTTTTTAATATTTCTTTGATATCCTTTGACTTGCAAACTACTTTCTAAATACTTTTATAACTATGCAGTCCCAGAAAATGTAAATAATTTGGAACAGAAACTTTACAACCCCCAAATGAAGAAAAGAGATAGCCATGAAACATATTATAAATCAGTACAAGATTTCATAACTTTTATGTATTTGTTCATGACTCTTTTCCATTACAACTTTCAGTATTATATTACAGTAATTCTGCCACGCAGTAATGCAAGAAATTATTTTAATTTTTTTGGTCTTTTAATATACGAGTATTCTGTATTTTTTTTAACTCAATAAATATGAAACAAACCCTTCTACATCTCGTTGTCCTAATGTATTTCCTTGACATCCATCTTAATGTTATCCCAGTTTTCTTTGTGGACTACCGAATGGATGTTTCCTCTGTAAGCACTGACACCTCCTGTCTTGTAGAGACTTCAGACATTTCAAGTACCAATTGCCATTTTCTTCAAATGTCACTAGGTCAATCCACAGAAATCCATTCAATTCTATAAGTTGTATGAAAGCTGAAGATTTGTATACTGTGGGATGTAATGCTGTGTAGTTTAGTAAAAATCTGAGAATATTTTGAAGGAACATCGATGGACTTGCCAGACTATATAGCATTTTTTTTATCCATGGAGATAGTAATCTTCATAGTCACTGCTGAGAATCTCAAATCCCAACATCTGCAAAAGTTTTTAAAACATTTTCCAGTGAAGGATTCTTTAACCATTGTCCAAGTTCAGTCATATATGCAGTCAATTTACATCTGCCAATAGTATCTGGAGGCCATCTTCCAACCAGTACCTGGGGATTTGCCGTACAATGTGAAAGGAACCACTGAACTGGAGGAAGCAGTTGAAACTTGTGGTATGCATTTTAAATTAATACTGTGAATAATTTAAGAACAGCAAGTAAGGAGCAGACATTAATGTTTCTTTTCAGAGAGGGTGAAACTGGTGATATAAGATTACATCAAATGACTCAATAAAGAAATGTGTTCCTGTTTCGTTACATATATTCTTCCATTGATTCAAAAGTGGCCATAGGCTACAAGGGAAGGTAAAAAATTATGGAGTTAGGATTGGAGATTTCTAATGAAAAACGTTATACATCTTTACAATGTACATTATGGAGACGCTTAAAAAACAAAGGTTTCTAATTTCCCAAACCCTTTTGCGGAACATTGCTTCTTCCAACATCGTTTCTGCCTCGCCTTTGTGCAGTTTTTTTTATTGCTAGTGGGGTGGGACTAAGTCCCTTGTACTGTGGCCACTTCTGGTCTATTGAACCAGCCCCAGCGCCACTTTGTCCACCACAAACCACACTTGACCAGACCCGGGATCGAACACAGGTCGCCGCGGTGTGAAGTGAACTACTAACGAGCCCTTGTGAGTAGTTTGTCGTGCGCACCACAAGTTTCATGGCGTCGCGAATGTATAACGCCACCAAACAAATAGTGACAATTTAACGGATTAATATTTTCGAATCTCCAAGTGTAACTATGAGCTGACTTTGTTTTGGATTATAAATCTAATTATTATGTTTAAATTTTAAATAAACCATTTTCGATTTTTGCGTCAGCTTAGAGTTATGTTATTTTTTACAAATTGTGCACTACTTGTTTGGCGTGATATTACTGCGACAAGAGAACAGCTGTGAACGAAAAGATGGACGGTATCACTGGTGACATTTGTTGTTCAATACAAACAATGGACGTGTTTAGTGTTTGTAATTTAACTGACCGTTGTGTGGAATAAATAATATTTTGTTCTTAACAATGTGACAGACAGTGAAGTGTTATGAACAATGGATAGGTATAATTCGAATTAGTAAATATTTCGGTTATTGATCCTGTACCCTATACAAGTTGCACGACGTATGATTTGCCTCAAAAGTGAAAGAGTTTCGACAGTTAAAATTACAGTTTGATATAAAGTTCGTATAATGGAGTGTGTTGGTGATTTTGAATACAACAGCAAAGATTTGATTGGCCATGGTGCCTTTGCTGTTGTGTTCAAAGGCAGGCACAAGAAGGTAAGAAATACAATTCGTAATTGTTCTTGTTTTTCGCTGATGTTATTAAATTCTTGAATGAAGAATTTTGAATCGTATTAGAGAATTTATAGCTGAGAAAAAATGACACGAAAGAGTGTTTAACATATTTTCTGTTTTCATTTCGTAGAATCCAAATTTTGTGGTTGCCATCAAAAGCATCACAAAGAAAAATCTGGCCAAGTCACAAAACTTGCTGGGAAAGGAGATTAAAATATTGAAGGTAGGTTTGGCAATATTAAGAGTATTAAAGGAAACTGTTTTGTTTGTTATATCGAAGTCTGAATGTTTACCGTTTGTGTATGTAATAACCAGTAACTTGAGGAACTGGATAGTTCAGTCGGTATAGTGATGAGCTTGACGGCCGGGGTTCGATTCTTGGCAGGGACAAGAGAATTTCTCTACTCCACAGCATCCAGACTGGCTCAGGAGGCCCACCTTGTCTTCTATACGATGACTGTTAGGGGCTCTTTCCCCCAGGGGAGAAGTCAACCACTTACCTCCATCTAGTGGCAAGGTCAAGAATGGTGGAGATATACTCCCACTCCCCCATGCATGGCGTGATTTTAATTAAGCATAGGGACAATGTAATAACTACTTACTAAGTTTAAAATCAAGATTTCCTTTCTTACTAATGGAGGCCATTATGATAACTACATATTATTGTGTGAATAATGGTTTGAACCTTTGTTAGGTATACTTTAACATGCCTTACTCTCACCTCTCTGACATTGTGCTACCGTCTAGCCAGTTCCTGTTTTTAAATAAATGTTTCTAATATTTTCGGTATTATTAACCTTTAAATGCTGGACTTCTGAAATAGTGGTAAGCTTGAGCTGGCCGGAGTTTATTTAAATGCCTGTTTCTGGTGCGCGTTTAAATGCCCGTTGCTACTCTGCGTTTAAATGTCTATTTCTGTTAGTGAGCCTAAACAATTTTAAGCATTGTGTTTAAAAATTCTGTATCTAACTCAATTTTTATGATAAATGGCTGGAATTAATTTTGTTTGTATCAGCAAAGAACATAGTGTCGCATATTATAACGGAAGATTTGAAATTTTCTTCAGTGCTAAGACCTTCCAATATAGCTACAAGAGATTATTGCCCTTTCTAGGGTCGTGAACAGACAGTTGCATCGTGGCTGAGTTACAGAGTGCGATCTGTTTTATGTGCGTTCGTAGTGAAATCGAATACTGTAGTTTAATTTCTGCCTATATACACATCAAGCAGATAACAACAAAAAATGTATGAACATCGAATTTTACTATATATTTTTAACACACTAATCTGCAGAATCTGCAATAAAAGTACTGGCTCGTGGATGAGTTTGAGCATAACTCATATGTATATATTTTTTGCTGTTGTTCACTTAGGTATCATTTTATTTTTTCTATTAGGGCTTTACTCAAATCTGTCTGGTAATTACTACATTTAAGAATAAATATTTAGGACTGTGCATTCGCTTCTACTAGCGGCGTGTGTGCGCGCTTCCCCTAGCGGAGTTTAAATGCCCGACTGGCCAAAATGGGTTACTTTGGCCACGGCGACCTTATTCACCACTGGCACAAACGGGGCAGTTCGGCAGTTAAAGGTTAACATTGTCCTCCTCACCCCTGTTGGTTCACCCAGAACCTTGATTATGGTCCTCCCTCTCCCCGTGTGGTTTTTTTCCATGCTTGGCTTACTCTTTTTTCCCAGGCGATGGTGGTAGCTAACTCCTCTGAAACATGAGTAAGAATCTACCGGACTACATGATGTCACATCCCAGAAGACAGCTTCAAACTTTAAATAAGTGTGTTGAGATATCTCGTGAAGGGCTGTAATAAGCAGTTTTTCTGGAAGAAAGATATTGTCATTAAGTTATTTACGACTCCTGTTACTTTCAGGTTATTGCTCATATGTAAAAGGAGCCTGGGAAAGCCTGCGGTTGGACACTACTGTTAGGGCCAAGTGGTGTGGCTTAAAAATACTCATTCACATTATTGATTTACTTATCATTTTCAGCTGATTTCAGTTGTTTTAGTACATCATCATATGACAGTACAAAGAGTTTAATACTCATTCATGTGTGAAATGGACAAACTCATATATAGCAACAGTTAATCACAGATTCAGGTGTTTTTCTGTAAGGTCAGTTATAGTCCTTTGAAGCATGATTTTTTTTAAATATTTAAAAATTTTAGTTCGTGTCTCTCAGGAAACACATTACACCTCTGCGACAAAGCCCAACCGGTTAATGCTGCGTAGGGAAATAATCACTGCTTGTTGTGAGAACCATACGGAACACATAAATACACTGTGTGGGCAGAATGCAGAGTTCAGTTCGTACCTCACAGGAAACACATTATGTCTCCACTACAAAGCCCAACCGGTTAATGCTGTTTAGGGAAAAATTGCTGTTTATTGTGAGAACCACATGGAACACACAAATACAGTGTTTGGGTAGAATGCAGAGTTCAGTCCGTACCTCACGGGAAACATGTTACGACTCTGCTACAAAGCCCAACCGGTTAATGCTGTTTAGGGAAGCAGTCGCTGCTTACTGTGAGAACCATACAGAACACACAAATACAGTGTTTGGGTAGAATGCAGAGTTCAGTCCGTACCTCACGGGAAACACGTTACGACTCCGCAACAAAGCCCAACCGGTTAATGCTGTTTAGGGAAGCAGTCGCTGTTTATTGTGAGACCCATACGGAACACATTAATACACTGTGTGGGCAGAATGCAGAGTTTTTTAATGTTAAAGCTGGTGGTACATATGGTTACCACTGTGCTTTAAGAGGTTAATACTGCCCTCCTACATACTTGGGGAACTTACAGATAGATGGCAGGATAACATTAAAATAGACATTAAACAAACAGGATTGTAGAGGGAGGACTGGATTCAGCTGGCTCAGGATAGACTCTAATGGTGAACTTTTGTAAAATGGTAATGAACCATTAATGAAGACTATTTTTTTGTTCTTCGTCCATCATCCGAGTTCTTTTAAAACAACTGTGTTTCAGAAATTGGCACTATTCCCATCACATGAAAAAACGTTATGTCCTGAGGGAGAGTCTGCCCTCGAACTACATATCATACATTAATGTATGGTAATATACTTTTGGCTTCAATAAATGCTGAAAATTTTTTGGCTCTCTGTCAGAGTTCTGAAGTCTTGTATATTTTTATGATCTTTTTTTGACTTTGTTCATCTTCATTTCCAGGAGTTGACAGAGCTTCATCATGACAATGTTGTGGCGTTGCTTGACTGTAAGGTATGTCCCACTAACATTAAGATTTTTATTATATATCAGGCTAACAGACAAATGTTAAGTCATTTTTTAACAAAATATTTACAGTTTCTTTCTTCTTTTTCCAGGAAACATCACATAATGTGTTTTTGGTCATGGAGGTGAGTTATATTGTGTATTTTGTGACTGAAGTATGATATCCGAAATAAAGTTGTTCAAAATAGTACCTTTTTTTATTGCTAGTTGGGTGGGACTAAGTCCCTTGTATTGCGGCCACTTTTGGCCTATTGTACCAGCCCCAGATGATAGGTGAGGGTGCTTATGGAGCAATTGGTGGAATGAAGATTGGCAGGGGAAACTGAAGTACTCGGAGAAAACTTTCCTGAGCGCCACTTTGCCCATCACAAATCCCACTTGACCAGACCCGGGATCGAACCCGGGCTGCTGCGGTGGGAAGCCAGCGACTAACCGCTTGAGCTGTGGCACAGCCAAAAATAGTACCTTAATTATATTTCAATACCCTCTAGGCTTGTATTCCAGAGGTGCTTTGTCAAATCTTTGCAGGGACATCAACTACCCTGACTGTGATTTTTTTGTTCCTCTCCTTAGTCCGTCCATGTAAATACAGGTATAGTACCTCAATTAGGCCATAGACGCTTCCTTCCAGAACCTTTCCAGTTCATTATTCACCAACCATTGTGCTGTCTGACACCAAACAGTCTAGACACTGAAAGCACTGTAACACATCTCCCCTCCCAAAGCCCAAAGCAGGTACAGTTTATAAGATTTGAGATCTTCACAGTGGTGAAGATTCATATTGTAGTGTTCTGGACTATGATGCTATGATAGTAACGATGTTTCAGAGGAAGACCTTTTGGAAATGGAAGTGGTATGATCCTCTGAAACCTTGCAATTCTCATACCATATCACAAGACAGTATCTTAATGTAGAAGATCACGCTGTGTATCTTAGCTGAAAAGCTATACCACCTGAAGGGGTTATCATTTGAACAGTAGAGTACTTGGGGCATGTGGTACTGTAGTTGGTTGAGGCACTATGCAACAAGTTGGAAGGTTGCGGGTTCAAGTCCCAATGAGGTGAATTTTTTCAGTTTACCTAATCCTTTCAGCTTGAACTATGGCCCTGGGGTTGACACAGGCTCTAACAGAAATGAGTACCAGGAATCTTCCTGGGGGTTAAAGGGTGACTGGCACGTAAAGCTGACAATGTTACCACCATCTGTGAGCCGACTGTCTAGAGAAACTGTGGGAGTCTCAATGTCTCACAACCCTATGGGCCTCCACGGCCTGTTGCAGGGATAGCTTTACCCTACCTTTACCTTTGTACAGTAGTGTGCATTCAGTATCGATGGTGAGAACATGCTCATTATACAAGGGTTTACCAGAAAGTAAAGACCTAGCACATGTATGCTACTTGCTGACTTTGGCTGGGGTTTTTTTTCCGTCCTCCTCATGGTCCAGACCTGGCTCCAAGTGATTTTCACTTGTTCATACACTTGAAGCATTGTTTGGGTTACATGTGTATGTATATCAATGATGAACTAAAGGAGATGTTTAAAGACTGGTTCAGTGGACTGGCAGCAGATTTCTGCGATGCAGGCATACAGAAACTTATCACACAATACAAGTGCCTGCATCTCTAAGGGAATTATGTAAAAAAACGATTCAATGTCTGTAGTAATGATGTAAAATAACATTTTATTAATAAATTTTTTTATCGCCAAACGGTCTTTAGGCTGGGGCCACACGAGCGCACAAAATGCGTCTGTCATAACGAACATCGTGATGTCCATTGTAGAAATAGACAAGAGAGGGGAACGCTATGCTTTCTTCTGGCTCCATTGCAGACAAGAAACTACGCACTGCATTCTGCAACTGTGTGGTGTCCTCAGCAACGTCCGTCATAAAGTACATTTGTTGCAACGGACGTTCTTTGTGCACTTGTGTGGCCCCAGCCTTAGTCTCTGGGCGACCTGTGTAATATGAAGATCTTGCATCTGTATTTTGCGCTGCATTCTTTGCACACCTCTCTGCACTGTGGGGACTGTTTAGATGGATTCCACGTGTATGAGTACATGGCCCAGTTTTGTATTTAGTTATCATCTTGGGCTGCACCATAGCTCAAGTGGTTAGTCGCTGGCTTCCCACCGCAGCAGTCCAGGTTCAATCCCAGGTCTGGTCAGATGGGATTTGTGGTGGATAAAGTGGCGCTGGGGCAGGTTTTCTCCGAGTACTTCGGTTTCCCCTGCTGATCTTCATTTGACCAATTGCTCCACAATCACCCTCACTTATCGTCTGGGCCTGGTACAATAGGCCAGAAGTGGCCACAGTACAAGGGACTTAGTCCCACCCCACTAGCAATAAAGAAAGTAATAGTTATCATCTTGGAGTTGAGTTGTAAATATTTATATCAGTGAAGCAAATTGTATTATCACTTTGCAGTTTGAAATGGTAGAATAATTGGCATTGAAATTTTGGAGTTCCACATACAGTGAAGTTACTTTATTTTCCTGAGATTATTTGTGATGTCAATGTTAAGCTTTTGAAAGCTTCAGTTTTTCTAAATATTGTATATAAAAATTCAATTTCTGTCCCACAGGAAACACTATGTTTACATCACAAAGACCGTATGCTTAATTCTGTGTAGGGAAATAATGATGCTTATTCTGAGAATCACATGAAAAATGTAGATATGTTTGTTGGGTGACAAGCAGATTTTTTTATTGTTAAAGCAGGCAGTGTCTGTAGTGATCACCATGCTTTGAAAAAAGTCAGTGAAGAACTTTAACAATTCATTCCATTGACCATCCTCTTTTCTTCTCCTATTTCTTATTTATAGTATTTTTTGACGTAATTGACAGTGTTTAAACTTTATAGACTGCGTTTTGTTGTGTATATAATATTAGATTTTTATTTGTATTATAACCATCAACACAACACGAGTGGTATGGAAATATCTTCAATGGAGATAGTAGATGTTAATGTACACTTTACTTATTTATTTATTATGCAACCACTTGTTGCATTGTGTTGATGGTTATAGTACAAATAAAAATCAGAGAGTGTTTAATTTGATGATATAACATATTTATCTTTGCTTACAGTACTGCAATGGAGGTGACTTGGCAGATTACTTAGGGGGTAAGCATTTATATACACACTGCTTATTACTGAGTTCTGCTGATAGCTCTATGCAGGTCAGTAAAGTTGCCGCATTTGTTTTTTCCTTGCAGTGATGGGCACACTCAGCGAGGACACAATTCGACTCTTCCTCTGTCAGCTGGGTAAGGATTGTGTTTGTTTCAAAGGTATATGCAGGAACAAAAGCTGTGATCACTTGAAACACTGAAATAATTTTATGTTCTAGCGGGAGCAATGAAGGCGTTGTATGCAAAGGGTATTGTCCACCGGGACCTAAAGCCACAGAATATATTACTGAGTCACAGTGGTGGGAAATCCTGTCCACAGCCACAAGAGATTCGATTGAAGATTGGTAGGTTGTATTTTGTGTCTGAATATGATTTAACATTGCAAATACAAGAAAGGATCCAAGTTGATTCTGATGTAACAAAATCTGATGCTTTGTTTTCAGCTGACTTTGGCTTTGCAAGGTTCCTTCAGGATGGCGTGATGGCAGCGACGCTGTGTGGGTCACCAATGTACATGGCAAGTTTATGTGGAGTTCTCTTTTTGATTAATTTATTCACATTTTCTCTTTGAATTCTAATTTAAAGTGAAACTGAAGGGAAATGACCCAGTGGATGGAAAGAAGTCATGTGTCATGTATTTTTAAAAATATAACTTTCTTCTTTCCTACCACAGACCTAACAGAGAACTCCCTAAGATATATGCAAAGTAGCCACAGGTGTTAAAGCAGTGTGCACGTATCTTGGTAGAGTTTATATATGTGATTGAAACCCTCATTCCCATCATTGTACTTAATTAAATAAGGAAACGTCTTTAATTTCTTTATGATATTACCTGATGAGATGTGACACTGCGTGGTCTGATGGACGTTTACTGACATTACTGCAGATTGTCAGGAACTTTCTGCTGGGCTCTGTGGTATCATATCTCGGCAGGCAGCACTTTTCATAGTCACCACTGTGAGGAGAACCTCAGATCTCATGTTTGATTTCCGAATTTGATTGACAAGGCCATATCCTGGGGGAAGAGCAGGCACAATTTCCAGTTTGTTATAATAAATAAAAATGTATAGGCCAAGTAAGGAATTAAGATAGTTAGGTGTTTTTGTATAATCAGTTTAGTTTATTTATTTTGTTGACAAAATATTTGATGTCTTCAAGGGTATGTTCTGTTATGCATATGTAAATACTTTAATTAGTAAATCTTTATATGTTGTATTGTTTATAATTTATTTCTCTATTTCGAGCTTCATAGTGGTTAATTGTAGATGTTGATTCTGCTTTTTGGGTGGATGTGGGCAATATTGCAACATTTTTGGAGTTACATATTGCTTCTATCTTCAGGGATAAGATGAATGAGGTGCATTTTGACTGTTATGACCCAAAGGTTATGTACAAGTAGATATGTTTTTTTTTTGGGTAATTTGGAATAAGTGTATCTAGACTTTAAGATTAAGAAATAGAAATAATGGAAGGTTTCAGGAAGCGAGAGTTTGCACAGAAGTGTAACGCAAGAAGTGAAGCAATAGCTTTGTAATCAGAATGTTAGCATGACAGTGTAATAATGCTGACATTGAGGAAGAGGCTATATGAAGTGGGACATAAAGAACTAGGGCATTAGGAAATCGCTGAGCCGGAGAGGGTAGTAGACCTGAAAGAGCCAACCCCCTTTCGATAAACAGCCAATGAGTGGGCCACACTGACCCAAAATCACGTCAGGATGGGCGGGTGAATACACCCCCGGAACCCAGAGAGTCAGCAAAAAAGAGAGTACAAAAACACTGGAGGGATCAATCAGAAAAAAAGATCATTAATTGTCAAAGAGTTCAGCTGGAGGCTATTGCCGAGAGAGAGATGGCACCGAGTAGAGGTTGGGATGGTGCGTGCCTGACTCATCAGTACAAGTAAGTGGACCTACTTCATATAAGTCATGAACATTAAGTGTGATAATATTAAAGTGCAAACCCCAAGGGAGAGAAAGTGAAAACTAGATGGACTAGGTTTACAGAGAAAGAGAGACAGAAGTATAGGATACCCAATAGCAGGGTGACAGGAGTAGAACTAAGGTGTGTGCTACAGGATAATAACCCACATGTATTGCGAACTGGCAAACGTAGGCAAATTGTGTATATATTATGTATATAGTGACATAGGTGAATAGAGTGGGATAGAAATGGCCTGTGATGTTAATTGAACCTAGCATTCCCGCAAGTGTTATCGTCCTCCCTGCTGACTCCAGCCTCCCTTTGAATCCTTCAGGAGAATTGCAAACTCAAGCCAAGGCGGCAGATACGTCAGTGACTGTAAATTTACTTGAGCCCCCCCCCCNGACAACTTGGTGGCAGCAGCGGGATACCTCCACGCCTCCCTGTCACCACGGCATAATATTGATCCTAAAGATGGAGGCAGGATGTACCTCTGAGATGTGAGAAACACTGCCCACATCCTCAGAGTGCACATATCCAAGAACAGAATCTCTTGTTTTCTAGGCACCAGAAGTGATCATGTCTCTGCAGTATGACGCTAAAGCTGACCTGTGGAGCCTAGGTACCATCGTGTTTCAGTGTCTGACTGGCAAGGCGCCATTCCATGCCCAGACACCACAGGCACTCAAGCAGTACTACGAGAAGAATGCAAACCTTGCTCCAAAGTAAGTTCATGACTTTCTTAACCCCTTTGAAGCCTCAAGTTCATCAGATGTATACAAATTCACTAGATACTACTATTCAGGGAAATAATCTCAGCCTATTATGAGGATTGTGTGGAACACATACATACACTATGCAAAATGCAGAGTTACTTAATGTAAGAGCAGATGGTACATATAATTACCAGTGTGCTTTAAATGGTTAATGCTTTTATGTTTGCAGTAATTTCTTCAGGACTACATGGAAGTGCTTATATTATTTGTTCCTGTACAGGATCCCATCAGGAACTTCTCCGGAATTGGCTGATTTGTTATTGGGATTACTGAGACGTAATGCTCGTGACCGCATACCGTTTGATAGTTTCTTCAACCACCCATTCCTACAACGCCGCCCAGAACCCTCCCCACCACAGTCACCACCATCTTGTCCGTTACCAGGTAACTGAAATCTGGAACAGGAGCAGATAATGCTTTCCTCCTGCCTTAGCTGGTTTCTTGCTTCACTTACTGTTCAGCTGAGTCATGGAAAGTTACAGATAAAGATTTGTGAAGTAGATCCTGATATTAAATTAGAAGGGAATCTTACAGGGTCACTCTCATCTGAAGGTGCACCATGTTGTCTTATATGTACACCTTATAAGATTCTTATTATAGATTGATAAGTAAGTAGAAAAAATAATTAAATATTAGATTTTCTCACTTTCATGTTGAGAAAATTCTTTGTGGGCTGAGTATATCTTCTTCCTGTTCAAACTTTTAATTGTATTTGTATGTTAAGATGTAGTGGAATATTTCAGGAGAGCTTCCATCTTCTCCTGGTGCCCTGTTTACTCCTGCCACTGTAGCAACATCTGCAGGGGCAACAGTGACTGTAGCCAGCCCGATGCAACAGAAGGCTGAGTCCGGCTCTTCGGTTCCAGGTACAGTTTGTCATATGTATGACAAGTTCAGCCCTTTTCATTAACACATGTTCCCATTGTTGGTTTTCTCTTAGTCCTAACGCTCCATTCCCTTTAACACTGACCATTTTTTCTGAGTGATTTATTCTGCTACCGTGAAGATAGAAGCAGCAGATTTCTTCAAAACATTAATGCCCACCCATCATACTACATGAGATTACATTCTAGAATGTGCAGCGACTTGTTCAGATGGAGGTACTTGATTGGCCATTGTTATCGTAAACATATTAACTTGATGTGGCGATGTGTTCTGTGATGATAATGAGTGAACTCCTGGGACATAAATGATGATTTCAACATTTGACTTGTATGTTTGGTTTGGGCATTCAGCCCTCTGAAGCCTAGAGCTTACCTAAATAATATGTACAGATTTAGTCCCTACCTCATAGGAAACACTCCAGGTCCAGTGCAAAGATCAACCAGTTCATGTTGTTTAGGGACATAATTGCTGTTTTCTGTGAGTTTCTGTGCAAATACATAAATCACTATATTGTCAACATGGAGAGTTTTAGTGTTCGGACATTTTTAGAAGGTTACTACTGATGGGGCACATTTCTTTCTTTATTTATTGTTCATTGTTGAGTGAGTAAAATAACCTTTAATATGAGCGATTTCATCGGTGCTTAATGCATTTCTGACCTGTGATGTATTACAGTTCATAACCAAGGTATGCACTGTGCTATTTATATGTAATAGCTGTTACGTAAGGCTCAAGCTGTGTGTTGGCAGGTTAATTGAATCAGAGCCAATTTTCAGCAGAACTGTGTGTTCAGTTCTATCACAATTCATGGATTTTAGTGTGTTCTGAGCTCATCTGTCACTGATATCTGAGGTGTATTAAATTGCTGTAAATGTGGTAGTTATGTATGAAATGATTAATTTTGGCAGGATCACCAGTTTCTGGTAGGGGCCAAGGCAGTAGCTCCAGTCCAGAAGAAACAGATGATTTTGTTCTGGTCCCTTCCAACATACCTTCAGACGTGTCTAGTGACAGTAACCATGCAGAAAGGCTGTGAGTTATGATAACTTTATTCTTTATTGAGTTTAAACTGCATTGTAAATTGACTATTTAAATAGTGCTGTGTATAACTGATCTAACTAGGGGACTAGGCATGCTAGAATACCTTCTAGTTCTGAGGACATTGGAGAGTTTCTTGTGTAACTGACTGTCTATTGGCTTCTCAAGAATAACTCAGTTTATATAACAGTTTCTATAATTACTTATGTAAAGAAATGGTTTTGCCATGAGGTAATGAAGAGTTTCTTTATGTAATTTTGCATAATCCCAGTTAGTGAGAATTCTGGTATGACTTAAGAGAAGCCACTTTCCCAGAGATTCATTAAATAAGAATTTCACTGTGCACAGGCTCACAGACTCCATTTAGACAAGTAGATCCATTGGACATATTGCAAACTAACCCTGATGTCATTTGTGTTTCTTGTTTTTGCTTGTGTTTGGATTTTGTGGTTCTGAACATGAAACATTAATGCTGAAACACGTCCATTTGTTAGATTTGTTATTAGGTTTTGTAAATAGTATTGTTTAGTTCGTCCTTACATCTTCATTCACACATTGTACTTCTGTCCACAATGCAATCCGCTTATTATCTCCTTCCCCTCCTCATTACATGTTTCGGTTGTACCCGGCCATCATCAGGTGTCTCTGTTTGCTAAAATTGTTTCACTGCGTAGTATGTGTAACCTCACCCATAACCTGTGAATGTGATATTTCCCTTACTTAAAATAAATATACGTGATTAGAATCACTAAAAATCATTATAATCAAATAAAGCCTAATTAAAATTTCAGTATTTTTGCTTGGGGGCTGTCATCTTTTATCCATTTATCATTTTCACAGTGAAACAGTTTAGCAAGTAGAGACACCCGATGATGACCATGTATGGTTGCAAATGTAGTGAGAATGAGAGGGGGTTACTAAATGGGTTGCTTTATGGACGGAAGTATAGTGTGTGAATGAAGATTTTTCACATGTAATAACTGTCAATACATCAAATAAGGCGGGAATATCTTCCGTGAAGACAACAGATGTTGATATATATTGTCACGTGTTGGGTATATGTCACGTGACAAATAACTTCACACCGTTCTGGATGTAGCAAATTTATTACACATTCGCTCTTACATTCATACAATTCACAGTTACACAATTACTGCCATTGGCAGTATCACAAGTACTTCTGCTGCACTAGGCGACTTCACGATCCATCCTGTGTCACTTCTGATCACACACTCTGGTCACATACTGCTCAGCCGGCTTTTTGTACTGTTCCCTGTTGCCTTGCGTTACAGCGGTAGTCCCCTTATTACGTCACAGTGGGAAGTGCTGTTACGTCGCCATGGGGGAGGGGGAGGGAGTGTTGACTGGCCTGTTACCGTAGCAGCGGCAATTGCTCCGATGCTGTTAGGTCACTGTGGGGGAGGGGGGTATCCTGCATAGTGCAAATATGTCACAATATCTTACTTATTTAATGTAAGTGTAGATTGCACTATATGTTTCGACCTGTAATTTAGGTCATCGATAGGCACCTCTTTGTGATCTGTAACTCAAGTTAATGGTCTACATCAATGCAAAACAACCAAAGGAAAAAACAAGACGTTATGATCAGATTATTCACTGTTCACTAGTAAATTAGAGCCACAAGCAAGAAATAATATGACCCCCCCCTCCAGCACATCGACACATGACTGTGAAGAGTTTGCACAACAACTAGCCAACATTCAAATATTCTGTGAAAGCAGTACTTTTATACTGCTTTATACTTTTTATTTTTACATGTCCTTTAAATCGTTAACTGTTAGTAATGAATTTTATTAGAATATTAGATCACGAGATCTATGCTTACTTTATAAATATATATTCACTTGCAGCAACAGACATCAATTGCATAATATGGATCCATATTATGACCATTAACTTTAATCACTTGAGTTACAGATCATAGGAGGTGCCTAATGATGACCTAAATTATATGTCGAAACATGTAGTGCAATCTATGCTTACATTAAATAACTAATATATATACCAACATCAGTTGTCTTCATTGAAGATATTCCCACCTTATTTATTGTGTTGACATTTATTACATATGATAAATATTATATACACAACAGGATGCAGTGTATAAAGTTTGTGAATGAAGAGTATATTAATGCAACTTACTTACTTACACATGGAGCTGAGCCCTTCTGGAGGTGCTGCCAATTCTGCAGCTACTCAAGAATTTCCCAGCATTTTATGGAACCCGAAGGTTCATTACTGCGTCCACAAGAGACCTCCACTGGTCCATATCCTGAGCCAGATCAGTCCAATCCATCCCATCCTATCCTATCTAAGATCCATTCTAATATTGTCCACCCACCTACGCCTTGGTCTTCCCTGTTGTCTCTTTCCTTATGGCTTTCCCACCAATATCCTATACGCATTTCTCGTCTCCCCCATTCATGCTACATGACCTGCCCACCTCATTCTCCTTGACTTGATCATTCTAATTATACTTGGAGAAGAGTAGAAGTTATGAAGCTCCTCATTATGCAGTTTTCTCCAACCTCCTCTCATTTCACCTCTCTTCTGCCAAAATATTCTCAACACCTTGTTCTCAAACATCCTCAGTCTGTGTTCCTCTCTTAATGTCAGAGACCAAGTTTCACACCCATACAGAACCAGTCAAAATTATAGTTTTGTATATTCTAATTTTTATGTTTTTGGACAGCAGATGGGAAGACAAAAGGTTCTGGACTGAATGGTAGCAAGCATTACCCGAGTTCAGTCTCCTCTTAATTTCCTCCTGAATCAGGTTTTGATTTACTGTCGTTCCCAAATACCCGAACTGTGCCACATTTGAAAACGTCTCTTTCCTATCTACATGTCCTGATTTTGCCCTGCATTTTGGTGACAAGACAGCAACATATACTCAGTTTTCTCTGTGTTTACTTCTAGACCAACCTCCTTAGTTGCATCAATTAAAGTTTGTGTGTTTTATGGATTTCTGTCTGCCTATCATGACTGACCATATGTCCATTCAATAACTGAGAGAAGAAGTTCTTCCAGCTATTCAAAATGTTGTGGGATTCAGCAAGCAGATCACCATTTTCATCTTTCACTAAGTTACATTCTCAATCTTTATTAACATCCACCTCAATGTCCAAGTATTCCTAAGCCATGAACCTGTTTGTGTTTTCAACACAATACTGCTCTTTACCCTCTACCTCATTTAATTTCTTGAGATTGAACTCCTCCATGTGAACTCTGTGTGCTGTTTGTTTGCTCACTGCCAGTCTTTCCCTAAACTTTGCCACCACCAGGTAGTGGTCAGTAACACAATCTGCTGCCCTGAATGATCGGACATCAAGTATGAGGGCAAATCAATATGTAAGTTACAAATGGATATAGAATTTAAAGAAATAAGAATACTGATTTGATAAATGCTTTTATTTCTCAACATAATCTCCCTGTATATTGAGGTACTTGTCCCATCGTTTCACAAGCCCCTGAAAACTAGCAGAATGAAATTCTTTGGGCTGCTGTCAGAACCAGGTGGTCACTTCCCTTTCTACAGCTTCATTGTCAGGAAAATGTTCAGCTGAAAGATGATGTTTAAGAGGGCCGAACAAATGGAAGTCACTTGGTGCAAGATTCATCACCTGTGACAGTTCGGGCTGGCATATCGTGTCCTTCATTGTGGCAGTAATTGAGATGCTGTAATGCCAGACCCATTCTTTGCATTTTGTGTTTTGGGGTCAACATGTGCGGCACCCATCATGCACAGACTTTGTGAAAACCTAACCTGTCATGCGACTTCCATTTGTTCGGCCCTCTTAAACATCATCTTTTGGCCAAACATTTTCCTGACGATGAAGCTGTAGAAAAGGAAGTCACCACCTGGTTCTGGCAGCAGCCCAGAGAATTTCATGCTGCTGGTTTTCAGGGGCTTGTGAAACAATGGGACAAGTCCCTCCATGTACAGGGAGAATATGTTGAGAAATAAAAGCGTTCCTCAAATCAGTACTCTTATTTGTTTAAGTTCTGTATCCATTTGTAACTTACTTATTGACTTACCTGCATATATTTGAATGCTGTCTCCTATCTATCAAAATATGGTGGATTTGATTGTGTATCTTCCCATCAGGAGATGTCCAAGTAAATTTATGGAAGTTACGACGTGGGAACATTGTACTTTTGACAGTAAGATATTTTGATGTGGCAAAGTTTACTACTCTAACTCCATTATCATTACCAATTTCATGCAAACTCTCATTCCCAATCGTTGGTTTGAAAATGTCTTCCCACCCTACTTTGGCATTGAAATCTCCTAACAAAATTTTCATACGGTACTTAAGGAATTTATCGAATACATGTTCTAATTCTTCATAGAACCTGTCCTTTATGTCATCAATTTTATCTTCTGTTGGGGCCTAAACATTCATAACGATATCACACCAGCGACCTTTTAGTATTATATATGATATCCTATCACTAACGAACTTTGTCCTCTTAACTGCTGATATGATTCTCTTATGTACGTAAGAACCTGTACCTAATTCATGATTTTCATTCCCCTTTTTATAGAAAAATATTAATGCAACAGGATTCTTAAATACAATATCATCCCTACATCGCGGAACACGATATGTGTGTGCAAGTTGCTTATCGTTTGTAACTAAAAACGTATTTCTTTTAGGGTTAAGGGACACAGGCCTTGCTTGGCGATTGCTAGTCCTCCAAGGCCAAGTTTCCTTCCTATCTCAGAGCCAATTCCAGTCCCGACACAAAGGGGTGTATATCAGCAGCTTCACTCTAATGAAGGACTGCCCTCTCCGACAAAGGTAAAATTATTTATTAGTAATACTGTAACCTAAATGTAGCTATATAGCTCCTGTTTCCTAGGCTGGACCTTAGTATCTTTCACTAGAACACATGGCTGAGTTGAGTTTTGCCTTTGTGAGTGACCAGTGAGGGCATTGGAGGTCTGATAAGCAGCAGGAACTCAGTCTGTTCTCAAGCTGTGTGATAGAAACATTCACAATGGAACTGTTTTATTGTAGGCTTGCACCTGTTCTGTGTGTAATGTGGATTGTAGGAGCTGAGTTGTGGAGTTTCTGGGTGCGATTTGAATGCTCATTCCCAGTCCCTTCTTTTGCTGGGCGTGGAAGTGTTCTGAGAAGTCACAGGGCACAGTGGAGAATTCAGGACGTTCGGCACTTAGTGGGGGTGTGGCGGGTGGAGTCCAGCTGGTTCCACTCGCCATGTCCGCCACTTACTGGCTTATTGTACCTTCCCCATGTGAGTATGATGATGGAGAATTTGGTGGAATTATGATTGGCAGGGGAAACCGAAGTACTCGGAGCAAACCTGCCCCAGTGCCACTTTGTCCACCACGCATCCCACTTGACCAGACCTGGGCTTGAACCCGGGCCCCCATCATGGGAAGCCAGCGACTAACCACTTGAGCTATGGCGCAGCCAGGTATGGCATCTAACTCATTTGGTTTTTCCAGAGCACAGTTCCCAGATCTCAGCCGATTAGCATGAAGCGTGGGGGTGATCACACGAGGACAGCACCACCAGATCTCACCTCCCTCTCTCCACCTTCAGTAAGTTTGTTAATGCCATTCCTTTTGAAGCATGGCTGTATGTTGATTGTGTGATACCGGTACCAAATCATTCAGATTGCTACATGGCCCATTCTTATTAAGTTTCAAAGATGTAGTGCCTTCGTGGTGTAATTACTGCATTTTCTGTCCAATTTGATCTCTGCAGAGTAAAGAAAATAAGCTCATGAGGCTCCTGTGCTGACCAGTGTTGACAAAGTCTGTGCGAATGTTACATTGTTTAAGGCCACTTCAATCCTTGTACTTTCAAATTTCATAAAATCGTTGGTAACAATGATGGAATTGAATGAGAAGTTGGAATTAAAAATTTATTAATGGTGTTGGGAGAAAAGTGTCTGCAACAAGGATACCAAGAATGGTATTAGAATTAAAGTGTGAAGGAAAGACATATGTAGGACAGTGCAGAACAAGATGGTTTGGTCAGGTAGTGGAAGACATAAAGAAATTCGAAGAGAAAGGCTGTGGGGAGGTGAAAGAGACTGAAGGCGTTTCATATATCGACCAGTGTAAAGTTGAAGTGATGCTAGAAAAAGGTGCAAGAGGAGGAGGAGGAGGTGGTGGTGGTGGTAATGGCATGTAGACATGTGAAGTGGTGCTGAGCTGATGCCCAAAAATATTTATTTGAACAATATGCAGCTTTTGATAAGGTAATATTTCTTTGTGGGCTGTAAAACAAGAACACGGATGTTGTGCAGATATTTTCTTTAGTTTTCAGCTTGACAGTGATACCTAGTTAACAGTTGGATATAGGAATATGCTATTTGGTACCCAAATAAATCATAAACAAGTTAAGTTTGAATTATTGTTTGTAAATAAACAGTTGCAAATATGTTGGCATTGTGAAACATTTAGGTTATGTCTGAGAAATGACATAGTATCCGAGTTGTGCAGTTGTTCCTTGTGAATGGAGGACAGCTATATGAATTGCACAAATGTTTCCTATATGTGTCACCTGGAAACTTATGTGTCTCTTCAGGTTCAGTTTATGATTGGGACTCCACCAGGAGGAGGGCAGCGTCGACGATCAGCGTCAGGAAGCTCATGTGAAACTCCACCTCCTGTCACCACTTGGCAAGTTTCGCCAGTTTCTGGAGGGAAACTCACTCCAACGAGTTCACCTCTGAGACGGTCAGGTACAGTCTGTGTTTGTGTTCTGTACATTAAGTTAGACTGAGACACCGGGTGAAGAGTTGTTGCTGTAATCAGATCTCTCTCATTCATCTCTGTTTTGCTGCTGTTTTGCTTGAAATAAGAACCTGAAACTTTCCTAAATTTGTTTCGGATTTTCACATTGTTGCCTTTCAGCCATTCCAGAACAGTGTAGCCACATGTAATTTGACTGTTTGTAAATGTAATGTCTGTCTGAAAAATCTCTGAGGGTATGCCATACTTTGAGTAAGTATTCTTACAGAAGAAAAGCTCTCTCTGTTCAAGAAGCTCTCTGGTATGGTGATTTTGTTTTGCATCATGTGTTGAAAATAAAATCGGGTGATAAATTTCTGATGTTGACGTAATGATCATTCTTCAATGATAACACAACATCACAGATGTTTTAGATCTCCTTGGCCATGCCATTGTTCATGCAGTTATGTGCTGGCCTGTTACCACAGAGCCTCCAGTTTGGTTCTGGGTAATATCACGTGAGGTTTGTAGTGGACAAAGTGGTATGGAGTAGAATTTTCTCAAAGTGTCTTCATTTCCCCCCTCCCATGAGATGTGTGATGACCTGATGAGGTACCCCATTATCACATCACAGGTCTTCTGAGCCTGGAGCACTGGCACTTGGCTGGTTACAGAGTAGAGAAGTTGTTTATATAACATCTGTAATGTAATTATTAATACTGCTCTTATCCTGTGCAGTCATTCTGGTGTTAAAAGGTAAAGACAAAGCCATCCTTGTGTTTAATTAATTAAGCAGTATGAATGAATGAATGAATGAATGTATAAGGGGTGGGCCTTCTTGGCCCTTGCACCGCTACCACAGTGATCTATTGTGCCTCCCTTCTGATTATCCCCTCAGCAATCCTGCACTTTGAATGAAGCGCGGGATTTTGTATGTGTGGACGTCGAAATAGTCACTTGGTTCCATAAAGTAATGACCCAAGTGATGTAATCTTAAATAAGCTAAGGCCTCACATTCGCACAGGATATGTGTGGCTGATTCATTTTCTTCTTGACACCTCTCACAAGTTGGACTATTAGTCCCAGTTTGAAGAGGTGTCCTTTAAGGTGACAGTGTCCTTTAAGTAGTCCTACCACCCATCGTAGTTGGTTCCCATTTAACTTTAACAGTTCCTTCACTCTTTTAGTAGATGGTACTCGTATGAGTCCCTTTGCTTGCCTGATTAAGCAGTATATCGTGAACCTACTTTGTAAACCTCAGCACATGAGGCAGGTGAGTGGTCAGCTTTATGCCCAGGGTAAGGGCCTACATTAGCCCATGGGCCCTAGGACAAGCTTGGATTTTTTGAAAAAGAACAATTTCTTACCTTTGCCAGAGCCCCCATTCCTCAGCTGTCCGGCTCATAGTCCACACCCCTTCACTGTACCAAGTGTGTTAGTTTTGGGTTCATTGAAAATGGAGCTAAACTTAAATTTTAGTATTTCTTTTGGCTTATTTTGGACTTCATCCATCGTCTAGTATGTAAAAGACAAAAGACCACGACGTTTCGGAGACTGGATCTGTCTCCGTTTTCAGGTGGGTAGGGAAGGATAAACCTACTCAGTTGGGCCTGTTAGAAAGAGTTAGTCTCAATCACTGGATCTAGCTCTTTCTAACGGGCCCAACTGAGTAGGTTTATCCATCCCTACCCACCTGAAGATGGAGACAGATCCAGTCTCTGAAACATTGTGGTCTTTTGTCTTTTACATACTAGACGATGGATGAAGTCCAAAAGAAGTACAGTATACACCATCGTCAGAATCCTTTTAAATTTTAGTGTTCATGGCTTTGATATGGCATTTAGTTTTTCACATATTCAATTATTTCCAGGCTGATCTCCTTTTTTTGTGTGATGAATTGACAGCTTATTATTAAAATAATTGCTTTTCATCAGCAACCCAAAGTTTAATAATAGGTGCAGTATTTTTGTTTGTTAGTCTGTTGAAATGTTTTGTGTGAAATCCACAAAATCATGAAGAGTTGTCATTTGTGTTTACTTACAACAGGTGCCAGCTCTCCACTTCTGAGTGGCCCATTAGCTATGCTTCCTCCTATTTTGGACTCGCCAATACGCCTTGCTGACAATAACAATCTTCACCATTCACCTGTGATGCCATTTGGCACACGAGCCATGACGCTACCTGAAATTTCAGGTATGTAAAAAAGCAGAAGGAATAAGTAAGGAAGGCCTTCAGATAATCTTCTGGGTTGTAATGGTATAAGTCTACCAACATTGCATCGGAATGTTGGTGGACTTTCATCGAGCTACATGATGTTACAACCCAAAAGATTGTACCCTTCATAGTCATCACTGTGAAGACCTGAGATTCAGTGAATTGAGGACGTTTCATAACGAGGAACCAAGTGATTTATGTAGGTCATATGATATGACTGTGGCAGCAAGAGGCAGGAGGCTGGTAGGCAGGTTGTCTGATGTGCTGTGTTTAGTATGGTGAAGTTCCTTGCTTCATATGTTCACTGAGAAAGATGTGCCAACTTCTCTGGGATTCTGTATGATTTTCCTAAATGTTCAGTGACATTTATTAAATGTTAACATATGGAAAATTTGGATGTTTGTTGTAACATCTTGATGAATTGTGTAAGTTTTGAGGTTTTCATGGCGATGACTATGAAGAAAGTCGTCTTCTGGGATCTGGTGCCGTGTATTCTTGGTTTTAACCAAGAATACATGGCGCCAGATCCCAGAAGACGTCTTTCTTCATCTTGATGAATTGTTTATTACATTTGCTTTAGTACCTGCTGATCACTATGTGATGATTATTTTTGGAGCAAGTGTTGTGTTCTTACCTTTTACTTTATCATCAGTGTTTTTAATGAATTTACACTTCGTGTGGATCATCTAGCAACTGAGCCTCTCCATCCATGCTGCCCCAAAGCTCCTTCATTTTGCCCCATGTTCTTCCTTCCTTTTGTGTTCAGTCTTTGCCAGTCTGTTGTCCTGTCTTGATCTCCATTTTCCTCTTGGGGATTTTCTTTTTATTCTCATGTTCAGAACCTTCTGTGGGATTCTGTAATCATTCATTCATGAAACATTTATTCTATCATATTCTGTTATTTATTTATCTTCCAAGTTATGTATCTTTAAATTTTATCAACTCTTTCATTTCATATAGTCATAATTTGTTTCTTTCCTTTTCATCAATATATGTAATGTGATAGTGAGGCATAAAACTGTTTAATAATGTGAAATGTGGTAGGAGTATGGGGGGAGGGATTGGTATGATATTTTGTGTTACACAAAATAAAATGGACCTGTCATTTAGTGCTCAATCATTTAAGGTTTTTCATCCATTTGACATTCAATTTCACTGTTCCCAAGTCAGTAATCTCAGTGCTAAATTACCACGTTTCAAAATTTTCATCAGTTTAGCATTGAAATCCAGTGTTACCCAAGGATGCTGTGAGTTGGGGGTTACACTCTATTCACTAATTCTTTAGTTTAACTGATTTTTTTTAATTATACCATGAGTTTGGTTCTTATGACAATATTAAAATCACTGTCTTGTGGGGTCTCAGTGCCTGTAGTCTGGTAGATAAGTACTGTTGTTTAGAGGAACTGGCTGTCTCCATTTCTACTGTGGAAGGAGACCATGTTGTGATTAATCTCTGTATGCAGAGGGCAACATGCAGTCTTATGGTGAAGGTGTGAGTCTGCATATGTGGATGTTGTGCATTGTGCATTCATGTCTCCCTTTTTATATGTATGCAGGCGGATACCAGCGCCTTTTTAGTGATGCTCCAGTTCCTCCAATAGATGGCCCCATCACTTTCGTTGCGCCAGAACTACCCGAGGAAACACTTCTAGAGGTGACCCTGATATTCATATCAGATGGCTTGGTTTGCTTTCTGGGGGGTGGGATATCCATTTTGAAGTAATTTTCAAGGTACTATTGTAGATCTAGAGCTAGAATTTTCTCCATTACAGCTATGTCAGTGTAAGTATGTGAGGTGACGCATGAAAGACATAATTTTTCACAAAAGAAGCAGTAAAAATGTACAGCTCTGCAGGCTTCAGTGGGATTTATATAATCTATGTAAAATGTGTGGAAGTGTGTGTACAGAAAGATTTATTCAGTTCATTTGGTTTGTTACAAAGAAAAATAATTGCCATTAACCCTTTGACGTGGTCATTTAAATTCCGCGGCCGCGGCTCCTGTGGTAATATATTCAGCCAGCCATTTAAATTTTGCTCGAAAATTATTTATTCATCATTGTTCTTAAATTCTATGAGATAGGAACATGAAACTTTCACTAAAATGATCTAAAAAGGTGGTTTTATAACCTTACCTTATAATATGAGCAGCCGGTATCTCGGCAATGGAAGCAGTTTGTTTAGAATTTGAGCAGTGAATGGTACGCCTTGAAGCATGAAACTTTCACTAAAATGATCTTAAAAGATGGTTTTATAACCTTGCCTTATAATATGAGCGCCCTGTATCTCGTAAACGGAGTATGGTACGCATTGAAGCATTCTACTATACACAGCGCTGTCTCACTTCACCACACCAGTACTGCGTATCTCTCATTTGGCTCTCTTTTCCGTAAACCAAACATCTTCTGTGAGGCCTTGCATTCTTCCCCGTGGGGGAATACAAGAATTAATGTCTCTCCATGAGTCATATCGCTAGCTAGATTAGCTGCAGTAAATTCAACCTTTATGTTATCATAACAAGTGTTGGTGCTTCTGCGTTTCATTTTCCATCCATTTTGGCGGCATAAGACGTCGTAGGGGTGACCACAGAATTCATGAAGTTATTCTAAGAACTATCTGGTATGTAGTGACCGAAAGCAGAGATTAGCTGGCTCAAAAAAATATTTATGGTCATCCCTCGAAACGACCACCAAGGTCAGTACGATAAAATGGAGTCAACTGGAGCGATAATACATGAAGGAATGAGTTCTTTTCCATCCCCCACACACACCCGTATCGTCACAGGGGGTGACCACAGTGTTCTGCCTTAAATTGTGGCGTTTTTCTAAGAACTGGGCCTTTGTACTGTGCGAAATCAATGGATCATGCGAGAATAAGCTTATGGACATCCCTGTTCTAAGAATTCCAATTGAGTGTGTTATTGTGGCCAGCTCAGGGCAATATGATATTATAAACACACGTCTCTGTTGTTTATAAGTTCATAGGAAACAAAACAGGCCTTTCAGAACAGTGGAACGGAGGAACCTCTCCCAAGAGCAACAGGAACTTTGCTGCAAGACAGGTATATGTAACGATGACTTGGCGCAGATAAAGTCGTGTCTTATTTATACTCTGTTCTACTGACAACAGGCCAGCAAAAAATCTAACAATCTACAGCAAAACCATCAATTATTATGGGCGTTATAACATAGGTGTGCAGCTGGACGAAACATACACGTCGAACCCCCCCAGACGATTTAAATACCTGACGAAACATACACGTCGAACCACGGCAACGGGTTAAAAAAGTTAAAAATGAGCATTTTATTTATGATGCAATCAGTTTTTTTTACTGGAGTTGATGTTCATTGGGACCTCTGTTTTCTTTGATTGCATCTTGGTCTTGTATTTTCCATTAGGCAGTGACTGACAGAATGATGTGTTGTGATATGAGCGATGTCATATTTTCAGGTCTTTAGTTCGGTAATCCCAGAAACTGACATGGTTCTCAGTCTTTTCTGCACACTTACTGTTCAGATTTGTTCCACACTTGTACATATGAAGGATTTAGGTTTGGGGAACTTGGTGGTCATTCTGTGTGTTTGTCGGATTGAACTGTAGCATTGTCCGGCATTCAGGCAGCAGGTACGAGGAGCGTTCCATATATAATGCCTCCTATTTTCTTTAATGAAAACTACAACAGATACAGAAAGCATAATAATGCAGTTAAATAGAGCAAGATTTCAGCTACTTACAGTTATTTTTCCACATAATCACCACCATTTGTTATGCACTTTTGCCGGTGATGAACAAGAGCCTGTATGCCATGCTCGTAAAAGTCTGCATCAGCAGAGGCTAGCCACTTTCTTACAGCTGCAATGACAGCATCATTGTCTGGAAAATATTGCTCACGAAGTCCATCTTTCATAGCCCCAAAGAGATGGAAGTCTGAAGGCACTAAATCTGGGCTATAAAGTGGATGTGGTAGGACAGTCCAGCCAAACTTTGCAGTGTGCGCAGTGGTCGCCAAACTGGTAGGGGGTCCAGCGTTATCGCGTTGCAAGTGAATGGTTGTCTGCTTCTCTGGCCTGGGAAATGTGGGTTTTCAGCTTAGTCAGCATTGTCTTGTAGTGTTCAGAATTGGCAGTCTCACTAAGCTCCAGGAAATCCAACCAAAACACACCCCGCCTATCCCAAAAGACTGTGCACATCACTTTCCCTGCGGATGTCTGTGTCTTGAACTTCTTTTTTCTTGGGGAATCCGGATGTCGCCAGTCCATGGACTGTCTTTTTGATTCTGTCTCCTAGTGGTGACACCACGTTTCATCTCCAGTGATGATGCTGTCCAGAAACTTGTCACCTTCAGCCTCAAACTGTTGCTACAGGTCCTGACAGACTTCCATTCAGTGAGTTTTGTGGTCCTGTATAAGCATCTGTGGGACCCACCTGGAACAAAGTTTGCAATAATCCAGCTTCCCCAACCTTGTTTCCACTGCATTACAGCCGATATTAAGCCATGCACACAGTTCCCTGGTCGTTATCCACCGATCTATACGGATGAGCTGATCAAGGTGCTGTTCATTGTGAGGAGTGGCAGCTGAGCAGGGATGCCCAGGGCATGGTTTGTCATGCACTTCACTTTCGCCAGTGTTGAAACGCACTACTCACCACCTCACTGTGCTGACATCCACTGTATTGTCTCCATACACCTTTAGCAAGTGTCGATGGTGTTAATGGGTGCAATTTGTTCGGCAGTGAGAATTTCAATAACACATCTCTGTTTCGTATGCACTTCTATGTCAGATGCCATTTTGGTAGACTGCTCTGCTGTCGCTATCTGTCACACAACAACCAAACTAACAGTACGTTGGCGGGAAGGTTCAACCTTTACTACAACACCACTAACATCCAGCTCAGACGTTACATATTAACAGAAAAGAATAGGGGGCATTATATACAGAATGTCCCTTGTGGTATGAGGGTCAAAGTGCCACATAGTAATGTTGCAAGTTTGGAACTTCCACTGTGCGGAGAATGTTAATGTGGCTGGCAAGATTAACTACAAATATTAATTTACTATTTCAAAAGGTAATGTTCTTGTTATAGTTGTGCACATTCTTTAGATTTGTGTCAGTGTTTCTTGTGTTGTGTTGCAGAGGGAACACAATGAGACTCTAGCTAAGTTAAATTTTGTGCTGGCCTTGTCGGAATGTGTGGTAGAATTAGCACAAGCAAGAGCAACACCTTTAGCAGCGCTCACTGAGAGTACAAGTGTACGTCAACAGACAGAAGGCAGTCGTCGTGCTGAACAGTTAGTGTTGCTAGTACGGGCATTGCAGCTGCTTAGTTCTGGGCTCAACTTAGCCACTCAGCAGTTACGAGCAGGCCAGCTACAGCCTTCAGCTTCTGTTAAGAGTGGTAAGTGTGGAGTACAGTGTGCTTCTTTACATTAGTGCTGTACAGCCAGGGAGAGTACTTTGGCATTTTGGAGAACTCAGAAACAGGAATCTGATTCCTGGCAGAGGCAATGTCCAGACCAGCCCTGGGGGCCCACCCGTCTTCCTGTCTGATGGGAACAGGGGGGCTGTCTCCCGTGGGGGAAAGTGGCAGAGGCATGAAGCCGACCTCTCACCTACATTTAGAGCCAGGTTAATGTGGTGGAGCTGTACCTCCATTCTGCCATATGTCTTCATGGCATGGTGGTTGTTCAAGTACAGGACAACTTTAACTTTATCTCCATCTTTACCTTTAGGTTTGTCTGTGGAATTTTATGAAATAGAAAATGTGGGTAGCAGACAGTAATTAGAATTAATTATGGGTGTTCCAATAGAATATATAAGGGGTAGGCCTTCTCGGCCCTTGCACCGCGACCTTAGGTCTATTGTTCTTCCCCTTTTTTTAATTATTCCCTCAGCAACCCCACGCTTTGGATGAAGTGCAGGATCTTGGATGTGGGGGTGTCAAAATAGTCACTTGGTTCCATGAAGTACTGGCCCAAGTGACATAATCTTAACCCTTTGGCGCAGTCATTTAAATTCCGCGGCCGCGTCTCCGGCGGTAATATATTCAGCCGGCCATTTAAATTTTGCTCGAAAATGATTTATTCATCTTTGTTCTTAAATTCTATGAGATAGGAACATGAAACTTTCACTAAAATGATCTTAAAA